TAGAAACTTGGCTTTTCAGTAACAAATAGAGACCTTACTTTATTTTTAATTATAGTAAAGAATAAATACCTAGTATAACAACTGGATATTTGAATCAATATTGTTTCTTGCCATGAATATCAGTTCGACATGTGATATCATTAGAATATCAAGCGAGTACATGAAAAAAAGAATATATATGCAAAAAAATTTTCTGTATATTTCATTTCCATCTACGGTGTCGCACGTTTTTATGAGCTACTGGGTAAAAAGTGAAAGATTAGATTCTCATAGAAAACCTTTCTTCATTATTTACTTCGTCAATATGAAGATTTCATTTATCTTCATTTTTTTAAAAATAGGTTTTTTATATATTTTTATTTTTGAAAAAATTAAAAATTTAAAGAATTTACTGATGTTTATTTTATAAATATAAAGATTGTACTTATATTTATAAAATAAAGTAAAGTAAAGAAAACATAACCCTACTAAAAAAAACATTTTTTTACAGCTAAAATTACTTTTTTCCTAATAAAAGTTTCTTTTTCTAGTGAAAAATCTGGTATTCCAAGGGATTTAGTCACTAAAAGCACCTGAGAATATCATTATTTTATCGAAGCTTAAAACCTTGCAATAGACATACTCAATTTATAAGTATTATTCTAACCTGTCTATGCCCTGTGACGGTCTCTAATACAGACGAAACAGCAGATACAAATAATTAATGAACGTATGTGATGACCTATGAAATATATATTTCAAACAATTTTATTATATCGAAGTCATAATACTTGATGCTTCTTTTTTATAGAAGTTATTCCAACAGATTAACATAACAACATGATTTTTACACTAACTCGACGTGTTACGTATGAGTATTTCAAAAAAAGAAATTTTTCCTTTGAAATACTACAATGCTGTAATTGAAGCATGAGAAGCGGTTTATCTACACTTCTACTGCTAAACTTGAAGCATCGTATCTCAATCAGATAGATCCATGAAAGTAAATTCTTATGGGGTTTCTCTAGTTGCATCAAGCCCTACTTATGGCCAAAAGTCAATTCTTACTTGAACTTGTACTACTCCATTCTTGCTCTAGCTGAAAATTTAGTTCCTAAATATGGCTCTCTCTCATAAAATGTACTATGCATAAAATACAGAAAAATCACATCTTGTAAACTTTTTTTTGCTAAAATGAAATGTATAAAAAAAACCAAACACAGGATATATTCATAGTAAAAATTTTAAGCCAAAAGGATTTATCCTTGATTCAATATGAATAGCGCACAAAATATGTCTTTTGGCGATAATGCTTTCAGAAAAACTTGAAAAACTCAAGAACAGAACAATATTTTTTCGAATGATTTACATAAAAATTAATTAAACACACGCAAAAACTAGTTAAATCAGTGTTTGAAAGTGGAAGCTCATTGATCGTTCATAACAGATGGGAAAGCTTAACATGTCAAACAGTGATTTTGAGAAAACTGATATGTAAAGTATCTATAATAGTATATATCCATCTCACATGATGCTATATACAGACAAATTTTCATTGAAATTCTTGATATTCACTGAGTCCATGGTCTGTTTTATTCAGGGTCTTCTCTTTCGTACAATGACTTCTAGGTAGTCGAGTCGAATAAGATATCTTCAACTTTGAAACAAGAGTAAAGTAGAATTTCTAATTTCTGACATGGAACAAAATAAAATGCTCGAACAAATACCAACAATATTTATTTTATTCAAAAAAAAAACTAAACTGTTGAAGAAATTATTGAAGAATGAAAGACATAAAACATAATACTGGTATATCTAAAAGACACTGGATTAAAATAATAATTTATATTTCGTTTATCACTATTGTAGATGTTCATAAAACATCCTACAAACAAAGAAAACTATATAACGACGTCATCAAATACTTTACCTTTGCATTATTCACTATGAAGAAAAACAAAAGAACACATAAACATAAATAAAATAATCTCTTTGATTTAATTACGTTTTAAGAGATCGAAAAAAATTCATCGATGAGCTAGTAAAATTTCAGGAGTGATTGATGTGTGATGTGTATCCGCTATTATCGAATCTCGTCGAAGACCTCGTCTTAACTGATCACTAGGACCGATGGTTTCATCACCTATTTAGTTACAATAAAAAAAGAGTCATTTTCTTTAATTAAATAACTTATAAATATACTTGATTCCTCTGCATCGAGACGACGTAGTTCAAGCACTTTAATACGTTCACCTTCCATCATTTTCATACCATCCATTAAACAATGAAGATATTCTAATACATTATTTTGCTAAACACATACATATTTTAATGTAAGACAACGAATAATGAAAAGTATTACTTAATTACTAATCATTTTTACTCGAGTCTCAAGTATTTGCATTTTCTTGGCTATTGGGTCTTGTGGTGTTTATCTAAACATATAAAAATATATATTAGAAAAAAAAACACTTGCTTTTTGAACTATCAACTTACACTCGTTCTTTATCAAGATCATGTTCTTCAGTGAATTTTCCAGCACTCTTCATACAATTATAATAAACTTCATCACCAAATGCATCTTCAATTGTTTCAATATTACTAGCAAATCTTTCTTCTAGCTTAATTACTGTAATGAAGAGAAAAAAACAAGATTTAAATCAAAACGAATATAAAAAAGTTTTTTCTTACCATATTTTGTTCATTTTATGTGTTGATCATGTTTTTCTCTAATCCATGATGACTTTGAACATAATGATAAAGTAGTTAATATCAATCGTCCAAGATGAGCAACAAAAATAAATGGAGGTGGTATTGATGGTCGAGATAAATATTCATATATTAATGAATACCGTTGAAAGTTTCATATTCGATCTGTATCATTTTAAAGACGATCAAAGGTATTACTAGAAAATGAATAATTGGAAATTACATAGATTCCATCGATCTTACGTCACGAAATCAATAAAAGCCAGATATCTCAAGCATCGAAATGAGTTTTCAGAAACCTTAGTCATTCTCTTCAAACTAAAAGATGAGCTATGTCGATTTCAACCATGAGCAACATTGTCTCTATTTATTTAAAATTCTGTTTCATGCATAACGAACAACAGACGTCAATAAACCATCGCATCTTAGAAGTACCAAGGTATTACGGGCAAACCTGTGACATGCATTGAAATGAAGCATTTAAACTCTTTCTAACAATGATATATACATGAATATTGGTGAAATATTAGTACAGAATTGCTATGGATCTTTCCTCACTTAATATATGCCTACTCAAACGTGAACCTACAACTGGCTAGTGAACCATTTACGGGTTCCACAGCCTTTCTGTATGAACATTTTGGCGACTACAATCTCGTTCAATACCCGAACATTCCAATAAGTAGATTAACCAAAAGTATACTAACAATAGCCATATAAGTAACAAGTAAAATAAATACAGCATAACCAATTGCATGATAATTGTTTGAATGAAGAAGAATTTATTTTTTCAAGAATATTCTAGATAACATGTCTAGTTATCCAAATATTTCCCAATAAGACAGATGTAGAACTTCACGTGGTAAATACCAAGTAAATTGTTTCGTACCATTAATAAGACTATGAGATGATACACCAAAACCCAAAATAAATACAAATAAAAAAAACCATATAAAATTTTAAATCATATACCTTAGAAAAATTTTCAAATGAAAATAAAAATTAACCAAAGAAGTCAAATGATAAAATTTTCTTACCATTTCACCAATCATGACAAGAGTGAATATCTAACCAATGTTACATCCCAACGGCTTTCTAATCCGTCATACCAGATAACGGAAACAAAACCAGGGGAAAACGATGGTCGCTTTCGACAGTCGGACTGATCGACCTGGGTGGCGTTCTATCGAAACTTAGAGCAATATTTCATGATACGGAACGCCAGGTTCAGTTTTACTATTGATTCATGGCGGAAAACTTGCTTAAGAAATACTTCTATGCGAACCCAATTATTTATGTCAGGTTCGCTTCATATAGCGGCGAGTTGCGTCAGGGTGGCAACAGTAAAAACAATGACCACACGGAAGCAAATCCTATTTTAATGATTTGCTTAAAATGTGGTCATTGCGACGATTTCATTAATTGAGGGTGTGAAGTGTAGGATGTAAATAATCTTGTCTCTCACATACTCAGACCAATGCCCAATGACACTCACACACCCCTGATTGATACTTGTCTGAACATCGGAAACTGTCATCTTTTTTTAACAAATTATTTATTTATTTGGCTTTCTTATTGATACATCATCTGGTTATGTTTAATCCGACAACTTACACAATTAATGGCACCTATTGGCACAGCTGGCTTTTTTCGTGCAACAATGATTCATACAATGAATGCATTACGTGAAAATTCTGATTTATTACTTAGTACAATGGATGTATTTATTAAAGAACCATTAATGGAATGGATGGTAAGTTTTAATTTATATAATAGAAAAAAAAAACATCATACAAAAATAATTTTAATTATAGGAACATGCACTTAAAACAAGTAAACAAGTAGCACAAAGTGGTATGTAAATGAAATAAAAATAATGAATTATTTCTTTCAAAATGATTTTGTTTTTTAGAAACAAATATACTTCATTCGGATGATACTTATGCAAAAGATCGAATTAACAGTGCACGATTAGGAAATCAATATTCATAATGAAATTTTTACAATAGATAAAATTTGACAACAATATAGAATAATCGTTATCACTAATTCTACTATAAATTTTCAATATTTTTAGTTCGGTAATTTGCACTTCATTCTGCATCTTTTGTTTTCAAGACAACAAGAGTAGCTGAGATGCATTAGATCAAGAAATATGTTCTCTCATTTTCTTTAATGAAAAATATTGCAATAAGCACATAAGAGAATGATTTATCTAATCAGTTCAGAACAATAATTAGAGATCTATCTTTCTAACACTTAATCAATTACATATACAAAAAACCTCAAGATGATGTTTTTTATGACTGTTGCTAGTTCATTATTTAGACCTTGAAAGTAAATCTTACGTTACTGAAAAGTTTTAAAGTTACAACACAAATAATTAAGAAATGATATGTATATACCAGCATTATTATAAAGTTTTTCTTTTATTCACAATAATCTACAGTTCGAATATCTGACTGAATTTATTACGAAAAGCACATAGAACAAGAACAAAAATAAGATTTAATTAATTATAATAACATTTGAATCATTCCTAGAACAAATAATTCAATAGTAAAAAGCAAAACTAAGAAAATCGATTCATACCGGCTCGTTTAAGTCCATAATTGAAACATTTTATTGAACAATATCGTTCTTGTACTGGTACAGAAAATGATTGATTAGCTGCTGTAACATGTACTGTTACTCCATTTGCTGATAATTGTTTTGGTACAATTATTTCACCATAACTAATTAAACATGGTAAAGCACAATGAGCACATATTTCATATTCATCAAGTAATAAACATAAAGTTCGAGGAAGTGTTTTGAAATCATAAGGAATTCTAAAATAAACAATTTTAAAACAAAAGTCATTCATCATTTTTTGTGTAAAATATTTGATAATATCAAAACTAAAAACTCTAAAAATATGATAAACATAATGAAATAACGAGTTGATGAGAATGAATGAGCCTCTCTCGTTATTTTCTTCATATCTCTGCCAATTCTAATAATTATGGACTTTGTTTCGTGTTTACAAGCCTCAACGTTAAATTCTCTACCAAACCATAGACAAATCTGTGTCATTAACAACTTTCAGGCACATATATACTAATCAATTTGTGGTTTCTTCCTTCAGAGCACTATCTCAGATAGAATCAAGTGTATGCCATTACAGAACTTTTTTGTTTGCAACTAATCGAGAGACCTTCTCAATCGTTGCAAAACGACTAGTTTCACTTTTTCCATATCTCAGCATGAGAATATATTAACACAAGAAAAAAAGTAAATTTTATAGTTATTTAGAGTATCGATTCCTATTATTGGTACAATAGTTGTATTGTTCTTATACTTATTTAGCATAATGAGAGCAAGTCATTTCAAAAAAAGCCCTGAAACACAGAGTTTTGATCTGAAATTCTACCTAATAGAGGTGTTTGATAGTCATTATCCAATATATAGCGGTTTGCCGTAGAAGGATACAATAATCGAGTCTACTTGAAAGCCGAATATAATGAGAAAAACATATCCATTTTCGTTGAACTATCTAATGATTATCACATGTTATCTATAGGTAAAATTTCATCTAAACAACCATAACTCTTTATTAGTGGAATAATCGCCTGAATCATTTTAAGTTTGTATCAGTTAAACCGAGACCTATTCGCAAACATAATATGATGTCAACCGACATCCAGCAGTTAACTATGTTCCTTTGTGAGAGGCTTATTAATTCTAATATATTTGTTAAGATTTACCTATATTTAATAACAGCTCGAAGACCTAATTCAACAAGTGTATTATTAAAACGTCTACATGTGATAGATTTTTCTGAAAGTAATGGATTTAAAGCATAATGAAATGTATGTAAACGTGTTCCACTACAAGCTAAACAATTCGGTATAAATCGAATTAAATTTGATGATATATTGAATATTTGTAATTGTGGTAAGAAACGTAAGATATATCTTGGAATAAATTTAATTTTATTTGATGATAAATTTAAACGTTCAAGTGTATTTAAATTTAAAATAGTTAAATCAATTTTTTCTAATTGATTTTGACTTAAATCAAGGTTTTTAAGTAAAGGACATTTAAATTGATTGGGAAAAGATTTTAATTGATTTGAACGCATAATTAATGTATGTAAATGATTCATTTCCATATTGGATGGTAATTCTGTTATATTATTATCAGATAAATCGAGTGTGTGTAAATTTTTCAGTGTAAATATTCGACGATCAACAGGTGTACGAAGATTTGATGAATTAATAATAAGTTTTTCTAATGTTGATGGAAAACCTTTTAAAATTGGATAATCTATAGGTTGATTAATTATAAGTTGAAGGACTGGTCGTTGAAGTTTTTCAACAACATTGATAGATGTTGATTTTATTGACGATGGAAGATTATTACCGGTTGATGCTAGACGAATACTTGGAA